CCTTCCTTGGCTTTACCTCACTAAAGAAGAGAAAAGGGGGTGGAAAGTTAGAAGAGGGAAGAAGGGAGGAAGGGAAGGAAGTAAGAAAAGGAGGGGGCTGATTGTTGTCGGTTCAAGAAGCTGCAAGAAAGCAATGGAGCAACGAAGAAGGGCTGCCAATGTGGGCCTACTATTACCCACTTCGATCTACGTTTCACCCTTAAAATGAAAGAGAAATCGTTTTCTCTCTTAAAAGAAAAAACGGACGTTTTACAGAAGAGTTTTATTGCTTTTCAAAAAAAAAGAAACAACAAAGAACACATAAATCATAGTAAAAATAAAACATAACTTTCGAAATCGAAACTACTAACTCTAGTATTGTCTTTTGAATTTTATCACTTTTTTTTATCTTATAACGCTTCATTTTAGTTTATTTTTCTTCTTTTCGGTGTGAGAAGGAAAGAGGGAAAAGAAAAAGACAATAAAGTAGATATTTAAACGCAAATTACCATAAATTAATCTAACAACTATCTCGTGTATTCAACGCACGGAATTACATTTTTTTGGGGGTAGTGTTTCCGTCTAAAAATTCAAGAATAAAATCCTCAATTGCGTTGAATAAACGTTGATATAAATTTTTTTTATTCATCCATTAGATTTTCATTCTTATTTATGTTTTGTTTTTTAAATGTTTTGAAAATTATTTGACGAAATAACAAAAAATTATTTTACTTGTTAACAAACCTTACTAAATGTTCTCTTATTGTTATTATTATAATCGTTTATAAAGATTTTTGAAAATTAATTCGCCTGCAAAAAATAAAATAGAAGAAAAAGAAGAAGAAGAAGAAGATGAAAAAAAAAAAGAAGAAAATAAATAGGTGGCCAACATATGTTGGAGAGGACCAAGGGAAAGAATCATAAATCCCACCACTTCCGGTCCGCAACGGAAAGTAATATCGAAGTTCGTCCCACCGTGCAGTTCCCTTTAACTCCCTCCACCCACCCACATCCTCATCCTCATACCTTCACCGTCTATCTCCCTCCTGGTTCTGTTTTTCCGCGATGCTTTACGTTCCCTCACATTGAACCAACGATAAGCGATATATCGACGCGAAAATGGCGCTCGAGACGCCACAAATTTATTTACGTCGACGTGCACCCAATCCTACCTTACCCCTTTAACCCCCCATCACCCCTTCAACAAACCCCCATTTCCCTAAATTTTCCGTTACCTCACCTCTCCTGCGCGTTTCTTTTTTCATTTTTTTTTTTACCGATTTTACGCACGGTTATACAATTTTTTGTTTTTTTTTCTTGCTACAAGCCAAGAATACACCTTGGAGATTATTTTATAAACTACCATACAAAGCGAAAATAATAGAATGTAATGTTTAACAAATATTGTTCATTGAACTATGAAGATATGTATATTGTTAAAATATACAAGTTCAAAATGTTTTATTTAATGTGTCTAAAGCCGGTTTGCCCTAGCGAAAAAGGATCTCGAAAACAAAGTGTTAAAATTAAAAGAAGATTTAAAGAATGAACATTATCGTTTATATAATCTTTCGAAAAGATCTTACTATCTTGTTGTTGATCGTTTAAAAATAGAAGAAAATAAAAAAGTAAAAAAAAATATCTGAAACCGGTAATGGATGATATCGAATAAGAGAAATACACGGAAGTAAATCCGATCTAGAGAATGCGGGACTTGAAAGAGGAACAAGAGTGAGAAAAAATAGAAACGGGAGAACCGATTCAAGAAAGGACCAATAAAAGAATAGCAACCGGAGAATCACGATACGTCACGTTCCTGCCACTTGAGAAAGCTATGGACCGATCAGAAAGGCAGCTAAAGTGTGAGATAGAAAGGAAATGGTGGACACTTGAGAACACCCGATATGGAACACAATTACACTCATACACTACGCATACACACACACACACGCATATATACACAAATATACGTACTTATATATAAATTTATACGAGTACGTGAATTATTACTCGTTTCATTCAACTAACCATTTTAATTGTTACAATGGTCGTACATATTTCATTTTATTCTATTTAATTCAAATTTATGAAATTTAATGTATGATAAAAAGAAAAAAGGTTTTTTCTATTTTTCCATATCTAAATAAGAAAAAAAAAATACACACAATTTTAAATGCGTGTGTTATAAAAATATACACGAATATGTATATATCATGAATGAAATTATACACTTAATCGAAGTTACGTAATAATTACAATGATAATATTTTGTTATTTGTAATTAATATTAAGTAAATATAAGAAAAAAAGAAAGAAAGACAAAAAAAGAAATAAAAATAAATCGATAGGAGGAGGATGATTATTCAAAAAGATATTTTTACTTTTGATTATTTTATTTTTTTTCTCGAGATAAAGGGAATAGTAAATAAGAGAGAAAGAGAAAGAAAGAAAGAACGAGAAGTAGGATCGATTTAAAAGCAACTTTGTGTTAAATTACCTGTCGCTCTCGTTTAAATTACCTGTCGAAAGTTTCACCGAGCAATGTGTTGCATCGTCCGTCGAAAGAGAGAAATCGTCAGAGAGAAATTCCTTACTCCTTGCAAGAAGAAGAAAAATAAAAAGAAGAAGAAGAAGAAGAAGAGACGAAGAAGTAAGGAAAATATTTCATTTCCAAGAAGAAATATATCAAAAGCGTAGAATATTCACATCCCTTTGATGATAAGAAGGATTTCGAGATGAGATACTTCGAAGTATTAATCTAAATACATAACTTCGTCCTATTCGTAATATCCCTTAAAGCAAATCGTTTCAATATATATAAAAAAAAATAAAATAAAAATATACAACTCCAAAACAACGTAAATTTATAAAAACAAAATGAGAAGAAAAGTTTATTTAACACGAACAATCTTATTTCTATCGGATCGAGTTATAAAAGTTGTTTCGTATTTTCTTTTCTAATAAAAATGACTTTAAAATCTCATTAACTCTTGTTAATATTTAATCTAATCTGCCAACATTAGCACGCGTTTGAAAAAACTGACCGATATTATAAAGTAATTAAAAAAGAAAAACAATCGAAACTATGTTCGTTTAAAAGAAACAACAAACAAACAAGTTTGTGATATTTATAACCCGATACTTTGGATATCAATGATGCAGTTAGGTCAGCAGATTGATCAAGCGATGAAAGAAGAAAAAAATTTTAAAGAAAATTTGCACGTTAACGTGCAACGTAATCGGTACAGAATTAAACAATGATTACAAAATTAAAAAAAAAAAAAACGATTAAAATACATTTTATGTCAATTTTAAATTGAAAAAAAGGAAATTCAAATTAATGTAAAAAAAAAACGATATTCATCTAATCATTCGTAAACGTAAAATATGACCAGAAACGAATATTATTTTATCCGTCGAAAAATGAATGCTAAAAACTAACAATTACAAATCGATAAATACGTTTGTTTGTTTATTTTTTTTATTTATTTTTTTTTTATTTTGACGATAGTTCTTGAATCCTGTCGTCGATCGAATCCTGTAGGATTTGTGAAAACACCACAGGAGGACATACGCCGAGACTAATTTGACTGTCGTAATTAGCTTCGTTTATCGGACCACACCACGTTCATCCTGTACAACTCGTAGAGTGCAATGGGTGCAGCAGAAACGAGAAAGAGAGAGAAAGAGAGAGAGAGAGAGAATGAAATGAATAGAATGAGAGAGAAAGAGAAAGGAGAACAAGCATGGGTGATAATCTTCCTGCTTGCCACTGGTGCAAACAATTAACGTTGTTCCGGTAACTTTGCCATGATTAGCGTGATTTTCGAATGAACCTATATGGTCATTTACAAGACCGTAAGCAATAATCATATATAAAGTGAGAGTGTATCCTTCTAGTAATTACTATGATTACTAAAGGATACCCTTAACTGAACTATTAATTATTTTCATTTGTTCATTATTATATTAAATCTCGTATATATCCATTTCTAATGGTTATTTCTAATTCAATTGTAATTTGAATAATGCGTTATAATAAATATGTATTATGTTTATAATAATACAAAATATGATAAAAAAATGTTATATGTTATATATATATTATCATATTTGTATATAAAAATAGATTTATTTATAAAAAAATTAGAGACAAAAAACACAAAAAAAAAAGAAATAAAATTAAACTATGTCGACTCATCGTTGTCGTCGTCGTCGTCGTCGTCATCGTCGTCGTCGTCGTCGTCGTCGTCGT